AAGAAATACTGGGAGTATAATAACAAGGAATGAATACAGAGGAATTCTGAGAGCAGTAGAGAAGGATAAGAATTACATAGCAGCTTTTTTTTCATAGGATCACTTGAGAGGGAATGTATCAATAGAGGTTAGGAGTGGATTACCACAAGGGTCAATACTGGAACCTATCTTGTTGCAAATATACACAAATAACCTAAGGAAAGTGCTTAATATTTGCTGATAATACAAAACTAATGAGAAGAATGAGAACAAAAGACAACTATGATACACTGCAGAATCTAAAAGATATTCTTCAGATGTGGTCTGAAAAATTGCCATTGAACTTTAATTCAGAACTTTAATTCAAACAAAAATAATAAGGCTAGGGAATAATGAGAAGACCCCCAAATACAGAACAAAATGAAATGGGGTCAGCCTACCATTTCAGAAAAAGACTTTAAAGCAGAATCAGCCTTAACACCAAAGGTATGTCTGCTCCAAGAAGCCAGCACAATGTCTGCAGCATAACCATCAAATTGACCAACTTCCAGTGCTTTCAAGAACTCTTAAAAAGGAACCCCCCCCCCCCTTCGAGACGATATATATACAATTCATGCTTTAATACACTCCCCTGACATAGAACTCCCCTACCTAAAAAAAACACACACAAACTCGTGCAAAAACAAAATATGAACAAAACTCATGCAGCCACACTTGTTCCAGAGTTATGGGGGACTGAGCTATGAACAAATATCGAGGAAACGGGACCTCACAACATTGTTAGAAAGAAAATAGCAGATATAAAAGCTGACTAATTCGACAGAAACAGCAGAACAAAGAACAATGGGGAAAAAACTGAATTTGATACAAGAATGAACAACTTCTGTACAAATGTCGTAAACAAAATGCAAAAGTATTATACGAGGAAGATGTCAATGCTAACAAGTTAATAAGTGTTTTAAATGTAAATAATGAAACATATAAAGTCGTCATTACATTGTAGATCCTCCCATAACTGTAGCCTTGACCCTGAAAATACATATAGGTCAGCATACCTAGAAAACGCACATAAAACACGCTGTAATTAACTTTGAAACTCACCCCTCCACATTCTCACTCTCGTTTTCTGTCCTCTCCCTCTCTGCCTGTCTCTCCCTCTCTCTCACTCACACACAGCATCCATTGTCATTCACCACCCTCCCTTCCCCCCAACACTCCCCCCCTTTCTCACATTCTCTCGCCCCTCTAACATCCTCCTTGTCTTTTACCACACACTTACTCCCTCCCCTTCTCCTCTAATTCCATCTTCGTGATGACCAGACCACACACTAGAAGGTGAAGGGACGACGACGTTTCGGTCCGTCCTGGACCATTCTCAAGTCGATTGTGAATGGTCCAGGACGGACCGAAACGTCGTCGTCCCTTCACCTTCTAGTGTGTGTGTGGCCTGGTCAACATACTTTAGCCACGTTATTGTGACTCATCGCCTGCATCTTCGTGATATTCTCTTAACAAATACAGCATGCATTTGTAATTACGTTGAACAATTATGTCAGTTCAGGATTTACATAATATCCAAAACTACATTGGAACAAATTAAGCATTCACTTGCACAAATAGATAGCAAATAGATAACTAAGAATATTGTAGTAGATGTTCCAGCAATTAGTTTCTGCATGCTTAAGGAAAGCATATTCTTGAACCAGAAGCATGTTTTAGTATATATTCAAGGTCTTGGAAAATGCACTTAAAAGCCTTATCTCTCAGCAGGTACATGACTCTTATCACAGCTGGTACTGGTCAAGATTAATCTGGCTAGAGGAGAGAGGGTAGAATGCCTGGTCCCAGAGAGTGGGGTCACACAGGGCGGGGTCCCAGAGAGTGGGGTCACACAGGGCGGGGTCCCAGAGAGTGGGGTCACACAGGGCGGGGGTCCCAGAGACGGGTCACACAGGGCGGGGTCCCAGAGTGGAGTCACACAGGGCAGGTTCCCAGAGAGCAGAGGGTCACAGGACGGGGTCCCAGAGAGTGGGGTTACACAGGGCGGGGTCCCAGAGAGTAGAGGGTCACACAGGGCGGGGTCCCAGAGTGGGGTCACACAGGGCGGGGTCCCAGAGTGGGGTAACACAGGGCGGGGTCCCTTCGAGCGAGGTCACCCAGGACTCGGTCTAGGGTCCGTTGCTATCCAAAATACACGTAAAGGCCCGACTCGAGAAAGAGAACTCGTACATATCAATATTTGGAGATAAATATATAGAAAGTAAAAACTGAGGACTCAAAGGGTGCTTCAGGAAGAAACTGAAGGAGTGGGCACACAAATGGCTGTTAGAGTTCAACCCCAACAAGTGTTAAATAACACAACGTAATGGGAGATAGGGAAACAAGAAGGAATGTGCGCCATACGGAGAAGGTAGCAACAAGAATCCAATAAAGAAAATGACTTAATTGGATGCAATTCTAACACAAACATCACAGCTTCACAAGCGAAACTGGCAAATATATAACAAATATAAAAAAAAAAAAATCCTTTCTGTCCGGCTTTAAAAAAACACAGACCGCTTTTGCTAGACAATAGTATGCAGCACAGGCATGGAATCCGTAGCTCATCAAGCAAAGGAACTTGAAAATGTACAGAAACTTGCAACAGTGAAGGAGAGAATTATCAGGGGGAAAGTGCCAAGTCATTACGACTATATAGCACTTGGAAGGGGTCAAGATAAGGATTTGGGATGGGATGGAGGGAAAAGGAATGGTGCCCAACTACTTGGCCAGTCGGGGATTGAGCGCCGACCTGCATGAAGCGAGACCGTCGCTCTACCATCCAGCCCAAGTGGGTTAAAATCATACTCATGAGGTTTCAAGTTACTACGACAGGTTACAGTAACTCAATACCAACCCTAGACCAAATAAGAAAGGGGATATAATCACTACATACAAGATAGGTGAATTACAAGGTCTGAGAAATAAGATAAAAGAACATTGATGAAAGCCACAACCAACAATAGTTTTGAAAAGTAAGGGACCACTAGTGAAAATGAAAGACCAACGAAATTATTTCCATCCACAAATTCAGAAACAGATACAACAGAACTTTACAGGTAAAAGTCTTTAATGGCGCACCAAGTACAAAAGTCTAGCGTGCCGGGAATGAAGAGCTAAATCTCTCTCTCTCTCTCTCACTCACTCTCAGACTCTCTTTCTTTCAGACTCTCTCTCACTCTCTCTTTCAGACTCTCTCTTTCAGATTCTCTCACTATCTTTCAGACTCTCACTCTCAGGACTCTTTCTGACTCTCTTTCTCTCGACTCTCACTCTCAAGATTCTCTCTTTCTCTCTGACTCTCTTTCTCTCTCTTTCTCTCTGACTCTCTCTCTCTTTCTCTCTCTCTCTCTCTCTCTCTCTCTCTCTCTCTCTCTCTCTCTCTCTCTCTCTCTCTCTCTCTCTCTCTCTCTCTCTCTCTCTCTCTCTCTCTCTCTCTCTCTCTCTCTCTCTCTCTCTCTCTCTCTCTCCCTTTCCCTTTCCCTCTCTCTGACAGGAAATACATGGCCCGCTCCTCATCTCTGAAGACACCGGCGCCCTTCCAACCTAACCCAGACACCAGACTGACGAGAGAGAGAGAGGGGGTAGGGGGGCAGACAAGAACACGTGATAATTGAAAACACGGTAATACAAGCCGTATCCTCATACACCCCTAAGGTCTAAGTTTCCGTGCCACCGCCGTCGATAATGTCATGGTGTGCAAACCTCGCCCCGCAATGTCATTCACACCAAGACACAACACCCAAGTCCGCGCGAAGGTGATTGGGCTTTGTAGATTCTGCTGGCGTTAGGTCTTCAGTTTGAACATTGCGACGCTTAGAAATGAACTTAAATATATATATATAAGGAATATGTAAACTAAAAGCAATGATAATATTAACTAACTAGCAACTTTTGCTGGAATATGACGCAATTCAACGTTTGAGACATCAGTCTCATACTGAACGTTGGATTATCTTTTAAATTGACATTTAGATAGTTTTTTAAATATACAGTGTAAATGTTTACTTGGAAATAGTTACACGGAATGAAGTATTGGTGACTGGGCAAAATAAAATTGATACGAAAGGTCCTGTGGGAGGAATTCATTTTAGACTTTTGAGATATATAGACACACAGGATGTACAACTATCATGTGTAGTTCTCTTACTGCAATACCAGTGACGTAGGAGGAAAACGGCTAATAAAAGGGTTCGTAGAAGCTTCATACGTCAGCATGTCCGGTCGGCCCTGACTTGGGCTACGTCATCCGAACGTTGGCAGGGCCCGCCATGCCGGTCCGGACCCCGCTAGTGTGGGCCTTGTCCTCCACCTGGTCAATACCGGCATCACTCCCTCATGTACTCCTTGAAAGGTCCTTCCAGCCTCCTCAAGTTGCACTCATTGCGCCCTCTCCCTATCTTGGGTCATTCTTAGGGCAGGAGGAACAGTTGTGCACACTCATGTATCGATTGGAATCGGCTGACCCGGTGAACCTCGTTATAATGAACTAGATCGACGACCCTAGTCTCGCGTCAATATATTCCTATTCTACCGGCTTTTGAATTTGTCACTATTTGAAGAACCCCCTTGATAGATATTACGACATTTTAACTTAGAAATACACATATGCGCACTGCCAGACGCGCAGTATACACTGTGAGGATGGAAAACATAAGGCTTTGCGCCCAGGAACGCATGCGCAGCCCGACCCTCATCAAAACTGGGCGTTATATGGTATATAACGAACTACAAACATGTGATCTACGTTCACTACCGTACTGCTACTAATCTACGAGACGGTCGTTCAAGCGGTACCATCCAAACACTGAATGAAACGCAGCTTTAAGTCCTACAGCCTAACGGGAAGCGGATGTGAGGGAAGATGAACCTAAACATGCCATATTTCGCTCATTAACTACCTATTACGCCTCCTACAGGACCCACACGCACCTTAGGATCACAAGCAACCACTAACCACCTAAGAAACACCGGCATCTTACCTGTAGGAGGCGGGAGACGGCGGCAAAGGTAGATCACCAGAGTCCTGTTTGGGTCGTCCGCTGCGGATGGCGTTCGGTCGGGAATAATCCACACACACGTGTGTGTCCCTGGCCGTCTGAGGGGCGGTCTGAGGGGCGGGCCGAGGGGCTAGGGGCGGTCTGATGGGGTATAGCCCGTAGGTGCAGGAGGCTGCAGGAGGCTATGGCTGTAACACGAGGTAAACACAGGCCCAGACACCCGCTACACACACGGCCACTGCAGCAGTCACTGAGGAATATTGATCGTCCGGATCGTACGATGTGCGCGGAAAGTGGTGAGAGGGGGGAGAGAGGTGAGGTATGGGGGGGTTGTGAAGGGCGGAGGAGGTGGGGGGGTATGTGGGGAGGGAGTGGGGGGATATGAGGGGCGGTGGTGGGGGGGGATGGGAGGGATAGAGGGGGATATGAGGGGCGGAGGAGGAAGGGGGTTATGAGGGGGGTGTCCACGGCAGCGTGGAATCACGTGAGGTGCAACGTGTGAGTGAGGAGGAGGGGGGGTGAGAGATGAGGGAGTGAGGTGGGATGGAGGTGGGGGGGGGGTTTAGAGGAGGAAAGAAGGTGACATGGAAGTTATGTCGCTGGGAGAGTGGGGGAGAGACCAGCTGTTTCACTCACCTCTCTCTCATTTATCCCACCCCTCCCTTCGTCCCAACCTCTCACTCACCTCTCTCCCTTCATCAGCGTGGCTGACGTACCTTGAGGTTACCTTGAGGTGTTTTCGGGGCTTAGCGTCCCCGCGGCCCGGTCGCCGACCAGGCCTCCTGGTTGGTGGACTGGTCAACCAGGCTGTTGGACGCGGCTGCTCGCAGCCTGACGTATGAGTCACAGCCTGGTTGATCAGGAATCCATTGGAGACGTAATATTATTAAGTAATATTATTATATAATATTATTTATTATTATCTTGTAAACCTAAAGGGGGTACCACCTCTTGTGCAAGTGTAGGGACCCATAGCCTCGGAGAAGAAAATAAAGAGTACTCAGAGAAGACCTTGTGGATCTTCACTGAACACTGATATTTTCTTCTCCTACCACCCCTATTCTTTTGTGTGTGTGTGTGTATATATATATAAATATATATATATATATATATATATATATATATATATATATATATATATATATATATATATATATGCGAACAAGCCTGAATGGTCCCCAGGACAATATGCAACTGAAAACTCACACCCCAGAAGTGACTCGAACCCATACTCCCAGAAGCAACGCAACTAGTATGTACAAGACGCCTTAGACGCCTTATATATATATATTATATATATATATATATATATATATATATATATATATATATATATATATATATATATATATATATATATATATGACAATGTCTGACCACGGAGGAAAAAAGAAACAGGAATTTCCTTAAGTACTTTCGTATATTAAATACATCTTCAGAAGGTCACCTTCTGAAGATGTATTTAATATACGAAAGTACTTAAGGAAATTCCTGTTTCATTTTTCCTCCGTGGTCTGACATTGTCACATTCTTAATCACGTGTTTATTTTCGTGATATACACATATATATATATATATATATATATATATATATATATATATATATATATATATATATATATATATATATATATATATATATATATATATATATATATATATATATATATATATATATATATATATATATATATATATATATATATATATATATATATATATATATATATATATATTATTCAGACCACGAAAGAAGAATTGAAATAGGAATTTCCTTAAGTACTTTCGTATTTAATAATACATCTTCAGAAGGATCTATTTGAAGATGTATTATTAAATGCGAAAGTACTTAAGGAAATTCCTGTTTCAATCATTACTATAACAATTTTCACTGCAGTATTTCACTAACCCTCTTTACTTCACACTATCTTCCACACTGTAACCATCTTATCTACTCAACCATCATCACTGTAACCTTCTACTATCTACACTACACACGACTATCCTCATAACTGTTCACTAAATGCTGTCTTCATCTCTGTAACCATCATCACTACCCAGGCATCGCTGGGTTCCCCATCTACAGAACGACTTTCCCTCTCCTTCACGACCTTCCCTACCCTTCACCACTGTCCCTATACTTCACCACCTTCCCTACCCTTTACCAGCTTCCCTACCCTTCACCACCTTCCCTACCCTTCACCACCTTCCCTACCCTTCACCACCTTCCCTACCCTTCACCACCTTCCCTACCCTTCACCACCTTCCCTACCCTTCACCACCTTCCCTACCCTTCACCACTTTCCCTTCGTCAATGTAACTATTTCAATATACACTATCTTCATCAATAAACTACATAAGACAAACTAACATTTAATCACGTTGAAAAAAATATGTGTAATGAATCTTAGAGATGATGGAATTGGGTATTTAAATATATAGATGAATAAAGTAGTAGGCTTGGAATTTTAATCTGATTACATGGAAGAGGTGGTGTTATTATTGCACCTGACCCACTTCTTAATAGGACCAATATAACCAACTCCGACCAGCTTCAGATCATCCCATACCCCAGACCACTCACCTTGTAAAGTTTGGTGATAATAGCCCGAAGCGTTTGGCCTTCAACCTTAGACAGGCATTCTCCTTCAAGCGTCTTCATTCTGAGACTGGAGGCCAGACGCTAGGGGCAAGATTCACCCTATTTTTCCCAGTAATTGCTGCTGGATACGTGCCCAACATGAAGGGGATCGGGAATGTTGTCAAAGAAAATAGTACTGTGCCAACGTCACCCCCCAATGACAAATCTCGCAGTACCATTGCAACTCTGACATTATCGTTATTATTTACTACACAGAGAAAAATCACACTAACGTGATGTATCGATGAGAAAATCAATGAGAATACCCAGCGCATAGGTTCGAATCTTCATCACGGCTCTTACAGATTTTCTCATTATTATTATTATTATCAGGAGAGGGACTTGGGGAGAGAAAAGTACTCACCGTGCTATGAAACACTGTGTTTCCCCCGTGCCAATAGAGGCTAACGAAGTGAAAGACATCACCAGGTGGAAGATATTGCGTACTGAAAATGCACAAAGGTGCCTTCGGCTGTTTCAGAGACGAGATAAGACGCCCCACTTACAAAAATGCGATTTATCAATCATTTGAGGTCAAGAAGCCAGGCTCAGTGGCGTGCTCCTCCTATCTCCTCATTGATAACGCGGGTTAAGAAAAGTGTGTCACATGGATGCAGCTTAAGCATAAACGTGAGAGTTAGACCTAAAGATCACATATCTTGGCATGAAAATAGGATTACTCCATTAGAAACCGTGACTTTATAAATTATATATGTGTGTGTGAAGGAAGGAATTATGGAATGCTAAAGTACTTTTCTTAACAACACTTTCTTTATTTAATTAAATTTCCAGTGACTTATACAGTAATTAATCAATCTATGTTTTATATTTTCTTAGCAGAACAAAAACAAAATACTATTTGTCCATCTTTCTTCAAATAAAGTTTAAAATGTACAAAAAAAAAGCTTTCGTTTGGTAATAAAAGTATAAACTATTTTTTAATAAAACTCGCGGCTTTGGGTCCATGCATGTGTGAATGTGTATTAGCGAATAAGCTTTTCAGAGTTAGGGGCAGGAAGCCTATTAGAATTTTTGTACTATAGGTTTTATTGCCTTAAATTTGTGATACAAGTTTCAGGGTTATTGATGTAATTACATGCCAATATCTCATAACGTTGGATAAAGATGAGATAAGCAAGTGTGAAACCTGCGTATGTTAGGATTTTGTGTAATAAATCCCGCATATATTTCTTAAACATTAGCTATTGAGTTGTCTATTGTTAATGTGTTGGTTTCTTCTTTTAACCTAATTTGTGCCGTCTTATCTCTCTATAGACTTAACCTAATTTGTGTCGTCTTATCTTTCTATAGACGTAACCTAATTTGTGTCGTCTTCTCTTTCTATAAACGTAACCTAATTTGTGTCGTCTTTTCTCTATAGACGTAACCTAATTTGTGTCGTCTTCTCTTTCTATAAACGTAACCTAACTTGTGTCGTCTTCTCTTTCTATAGACGTAACCTAATTTATGGCGTCTTATCTTTCTATAGCCGTAATCTAATTTGTGTCGTCTTCTCTTTCTATAAACGTAATCAAATTTATTGGGTCTTCTCTTTCTATAGCCGTAACCTAGATTAGGTGGGGTGAGGTATTTTGGTAGAGACTAGACATGGGTTGTGTGCAACGAGGAGCAAGGGGCTGGGTGTTGGTAGGGGGACGACACACGAGGGGAAGGGGCCAGCAGATGTGGCCGTAATATCAGGGATGGGGGCCAGGTGAGGGGTGTACCGAGGGAAGAGTTCATTGGGGTATATGACCTTGTGGATGAGACAGACACGTGTGGACGGTAACGCTGGGGGAAGGGACGGAGGGGTTCGGTGTGGGGGTGTTATGTTTGGGATAGGGTGGGATAGGCGCTCCGTGGGGGTGGGGTGTTAAGCTGGGGAGGCGGGAGGAATTAGATGTGGGGACGGGATAATATGAAGCCAGGTGTGGGGGGCCTGCAATTGAAAGGGCAAGTGTGAGACGGGGCCTTGAAAGGTCAGGTGTGGGAACTACAGCAATAAGCCAGGTGTGGAGCGTGACGATAAATGCAACCGGTAGCTGTATGAGGCATCACAAAGGAAAATGAGAGATCAAATGGATACACGTAAATCAAAAAGGGGGCTATTTGACTAATTCAGAAGGAATTTCGTGAATTTTGTTATTTAAAAATCAATGTTTAGTTCGTATTTTCTTTAGACACGAGCCAGGCCCAGAGACACTTCAAGATGTTCCACCACTAAATATCACATTTACTCTAAACATCTAACGCCTACGGGCTGTATTCATGCCCGTGCCACCTCTTAGAATTATTTGTAAACTATCCCCAAAATAGTTCTCTACGACTCCCTCTCTTCCTCAGGAATACCACACCAAGCAAGAGATGTCACCAAATGGACGTGTTCTTCAAGAATTTGGCCAAATGGGAAACTTTCTTAACCGCAGCATAACTCTAAAACCAAATCTAACTTTTCCTAGCAATCCTAGGCCTGATACACACACTATCTTGGAGCTAATATTAGCATGTGCTATACATACTAATCCTGTGAATATTCAACTTTAGCTTTTTGGCTTTATTTTCTTACAGGTTCTATAAAATTTAAAGTACAAAAAAGTGTACTTTCTGACGGTCCGTCACCACATACTGGTACTTTCCACCCAGCAGTTACGATAAGTACTCTCATTCTAGGAGGATGAGCTGCCATAACTATAGCATAGAGTGCAGTTCTAACTTACGTCAAATTAGCATAAGTAACCTAACAAAAAACCATGATCTAAATAGTATAATTACAGTAATAATATTTAGATGAATAAATATATATGTTAATAAATAGTAAAATGTGTATTAATAAACAATAATATGTATATTGATAATAATGTTTATATCACAAATAATAATATTTATATTGATATTTATATTAATATTTATATTAATATTTATATTAATATATATTTATATTTATACTAAACAATTAATATATATATATTAAAATAATAATAATTATATTAATAATAATACTTATATTAAAATATATATAACAAATAATAATAATATTAAATAAATTAATCTATTATAAATATTTATAATGAAAAAAAATCTTGGAGGTGAAAACTAGCAGCATAATAATTAATATACATTTTTAATTTAAATACAGGTATGAATACAATGACGATACAACAACAATAATGTATCCTAATTAACGGCAAATAGTTAATTGACTAAGATGTCATTGGGGTCATTAGAGATCTGATCTCAGATAGTTTGGAGGAGACCTAGCTTATCGTGGCAGATTATTTTCACTAAGTGATACTGTCATTAGATAAGATTAGTCGGGTAGGTTCTCTCTCTGAGAGTGATTTACCGAAATTTGTGATGGGGTAGATAATATGTTGTGAGGATGGTATAGGGAAAGAAATGGAGGGTTTGGGAAGAAGGAGATGGTATTTTGAGGTTAATGGCGTTGGGCGTTGATTGGTTGGTTGGCGTGAACGTTGTGCAGTTGATAGACAAACGAAGCCAAACAGAAAACTTTAAACGTGTGTGTGTGTGTGTGTGTGTGTGTGTGTGTGTGTGTGTGTGTGTGTGTGTGTGTGTGTGTGTGTGTGTGTGTGTGTGTGTGAAGCTTTCTGCAATGATCGTATTGCTGCTGCGTTCACAACTGAAAACTATTAGTTCACTTGCAAATTTGTTGGTTGGGATCGTTTAGCTAACTCGTAATGTGAACTGGCTCTGGTGCTAACTCTGCTGACATACTGAACTCATCAGCAAATTACAAAGCATTTATTAATGCTTTCCCAAGCTCTTCATATTTCCTGCAGTTTAAAAGATTATTTCTAATATAATTTCTAAATTCTTATTTGCAGGATCGGTAGCCTCATTCAGTAAAAGAATTGCCAGAAGATCTCGCAAGTTTCTTATTTATCAGAGATTTCAATTAAGGCATCACGTACAATGCCTAGCTGGAACTGTAGAGATTTTTAAAAGCATTAATATGGCTAACCTATCTTGCATTACTTGTGTTCAGAGGCAACCCAAGGGGTGTGGTAATGGTTAAACGAAGACATGATGTTTGTATGTCTCATGTACTGCCTCTCCTTCAGTGTCTCCTGTACTGCCTCTCCTCCAGTGCGTTGTGTACTGCCTCTCCTCTAGTGCCTCCTGTACTGCCTCTCCTCAAGTGCCTACTGTGCTGCCTTCCAACTTCTTTTTCCCTCCCACGTTCTCTCCGTCTCAATTATCTCCTCGGTTCTCTATCTCTTATGCTTCCATATCTCTCTCTCTCTCTCTCTCTCTCTCTCTCTCTCTCTCTCTCTCTCTCTCTCTCTCTCTCTCTCTCTCTCTCTCTCTCTCTCTCTCTCTCTCTCTCTCTCTCTCTCTCTCTCTCTCTCTCTCTCTCTCTCTCATTCCTCGTCCCCTCGACCATCCCCTCTTCCCTCCTGATATTCTCCTCTCACTTCCTCCTTCTCACTTGCTAGGGCTTCAGTGTTTGTGGGGTGAGGGAGACTCAGGCGGGCTTCCTTTGATTGTTAGGTGTCAGAAGACTGTTTAGAGTTGCCACTACACTCCAGGGAAGTCGACGAAGTGTTGACACTACTCATCAGGGAAGACTTGTGTTCGACTACACACCAGGAAAACTATTGTGTTGACTCTCCCAATGCCGGCAAGGCTGGTTCTGCATATTCTGTAATTTAGAATAACATCATACACTCATAATTTGGAATAACATCATACACTCATAATTTGGAATAACATCATACACTCATAATTTGGAATAACATCATACACTCATAATTTGGAATAACATCATACACTCATAATTTGGAATAACATCATACACATACACTCCCAATAAAAATCATCAATAATCATGCCAGGTTTAATGAGGCTATCACCAAAGCGTCTGGCCTCTAACCTCGGACAGAAAGACATTCTATTTTAGGATGTCTTTCTTCATCTCTGCTATTTCTGCCCTCTTGATTCTTGGTTCTGTTCCTTTCCCGCTCCCAGCGCTCTCTCTATCCCTCTCCCTGGCCCCCTCTGTTCTTGCACCAGTCATAAACCCATAACTTCCCTGTTTACAATGCTGGCCCTAGGCTGTGTATGGCCTTCCCAGGCTCCGCACTCTCCTCGTTTAATATATAAAGCTCCACAACCGCACCAAAGTGTCTGAAGGTTTTATATACACATGATAAAAGACTGGCAAGGTCTACCTTCCTCGCCTCCACCCTTTTTCTTCTCATGTGAGTATAGGAATAGACGGCTTTTGACTTTTTTTTTTCCCCTAGAACATGACCCGAACACCAGTTTTACTCTTTAGTAAAATTAGTTTTTCAAGTTCCTAATTGCTGCTGGATGAACAGGGGGCAAGCAGTTGTGGATTGGTTCCCAGTCAATCGTC